TAATATATTGGATTCATTTTACATCCATTTGATCATACGTGGTATTTATGAGTTGATTCACCATTTCTGCACGAGTTTGTTATCCTTCAGAATGGGATAGATTAAAAGCGTTCCTGTTTTACAATAAAATAATAACAAATTATTTATAACAACCGATCTAATAGATTACCTAGGTAATAGTGAAAAATTTCCAATTTTGTTGCTACATATCTCCATACATTGTTCCTCGCACATTTGTAACTGTCGAGACACGATTTGTCGCTTGCCCCTTTTACTTTTTGCTGACTCAGGACAATAGTCCATTTTACAGTTATAGGTGGAAACGAGGCTGGGGTTGACCTTGTTTTGATACAACCCTTCCTTCGTTATTATGTTAATCGTGAAACGCATTGGCCACGCGGGATAATGAGCCAAGGGACTAGGCAAGCCTATTGCAACATTCGCTCAAAAGCGGCCATTTATGGAACAATGTTTGGAGAAATGACAGTCAGTCTATATGGCTTTTTTGTACAATTTTTCGTTGATGAATAACCCGTTAGTGAACTCATTTATATTTTCAAATGAAACCAGACAGTAACTTCAAAGGTTGAAGATCATATTTTGGGGTAGCTTTTGGGGTAACGAGTTATTGAATTTTTTGTACAATTTTTCGTTGATGAATAACCCGTTAGTGAACTCATTTATATTTTCAAATGAAACCAGACAGTAACTTCAAAGGTTGAAGATCATATTTTGGGGTAGCTTTTGGGGTAACGAGTTATTGAGGAAAATTTGCAATATTTGTTGGAGCAATTATTTGTATTTGTATTTTAATATTCCCCAACAGGTCGGTTGAATTGAATTTATTGATCATAATGCACATAATAGGTATAAATCATTATTTAGAACTAAAAAGTAAAAGTATTATTAGACATGAATATTGCATCACTGGTCAATTTTTAGTGTTAATTAGGGATGGATGCCTTTTCACAAACAAACCTTCCTCTATTAGGAGGTGGCTATTAGATAACTGACCTGTATTTTAAGTAATAAGTGAGTTTTATAAACACATTATTCGGCTTATAGGAGGAAGCGTCGTACCTACAACCAATTATTCAATGAGGTTTTTTTGATAAAAAAGGTATTAAGAAGATAGACTGTGTTTACGTCAGTGTCTGTAAACAGTTTTCATTGTTAATAATTATGATCGGGGCCAAAGGCTAAGGCTGATAACGCTTACCGAGATCTTAATACTTATACTTGAAAGAGCTTATAAACCTGTGTTTTTTTTTCTGCGTGATGTTTTCTAGTATGTTCTTATTTTTTTGAAAGGAAAAAAAAAAACGAAAAAGATAAGATCTGAAGAATCATTTTGTGGCTGCAGTTATTGTCAACAGTTAGATAAAATTGAAGATCATTAAAGTGATGTCTTTCTACATTTCTTTGCGTTCTGTTAAGCTAATAATTATCATTTCAAACTCGTGCGCAGAGGAGTGTCTTGAACCATGAGCTCTGATCGCCCTTGGCGGCATTATCATACGCAACATTACCCATATGACAGCTTGTGTCAAGCAAGTACTAGACTGTTCTTTTTCGGACTTCATACAGCAACTTCAGGGAGACACGATAATGTGTATAATGTTTGTGTACAGCTAATACTTGACACAGTGTAGCATGCGTCACTGACGAAACTAAACTCTTGTTAAGTTTTTCAGCGAAATAGCTTCCCCCGCAGGCGTTTTTGGGGAGATCGTATTTCGTCCCTCCCCACAAACGCTGCTTAACCGAGAACAATATTCCTTTCTCATTATGTTATTGGCCTGGTAAGTTACCAATCAACAGTTTTGAAATAAAGCGTTGACAGGGTAAACACGACTCATAAGCTCGTGGTATTGCGAAAACGTGACCCTAGAGTTACCGTTTACCTTTCTTTTCTTTCCTTCGCTAAGGTTATGCAGTGTACGGAGTATTCTAAAATCTGACTAAATCTTACTTTTTCTGCTCTGAGTCTAACATTTATTAGAGGTCATAAAGCTTTCCCAGTGTTTCATGCAGATCGAGTAATTATCAGGTTACCCTGCGGTCAAGGTCAACTTTCCAGGATTTGGAAAGTGCAATGTGATTGGCTAAGCTTCGGAAAGGAATGTTGTTCTCGGTTGAGCAGGCGTTTGTAGGAAGGGACGAAATGCGAGCTCTCCTAAAAACGCCTGTGTGGTAGGCTATCTGCGAAACAGCGCCGAAATCCTTGTTCTGAGCCCCAACTTGTGTACCAGAATCTGAGTACGCGCCATGATTGGCTTGTTAAAAAACCCATTATCGATTGGCCAATAAGGATGAAGAGAAATTCGAAACGCACTTCCGGTAATTTGTTGAGTCCGTTGGCGGCCCAGAACATAAATCACGGCGCTGCTTCTCAGACGTTACTAACCGAGGTTAAATTTCGTCTACGACGCAGGCTAGACACAGAGTGCAATCATGCATTAATAAAACGCCATGCGTTAACAAGATCGTTTTTTTGTGTGACCAAGATGGAGTGCAACAGATTTAGAGATCGAGACATGATTTGTCATAGTGCATAGAGAAATCTCATCGTCTGTTCACCTCTAGAATACTGGGGTGGACACGGTCTTGTTCCTTTTCCGTATCGATTCAAAAGCCGTTATTTCGAAAGCCAGCCCTCCATCACATGTAATCCGATTCCGATTGCGATTCGCCCAACGAGTCGGATCAGCAGTCTACCTGTCGGCTTTTAAATCTGCTCTTGATAACTAATCATTTCAGTAAAATAAGAACCAAATTTTGGCTCCCGCTGCCAAAACCGGACAGATCGAGCCTATCAATTCTTTGTTAACAAAAGGCGCCTTATTCAGTGGTAGTTCTGTGGTTCTTGCAGTTAGTGGTTTTAACGCAGTTACCTCACAACAGAATACGTTTTACTAATTTATTTAAATCACTTTGTGGTATACAATAAGTTAGAACAATCATGTGATGCTTGAATGATACCATTTACACTGGCGACAACAAAAGCTGTAGATTGAAATACCAGCAGCTCACACTGAAAGTACACGAGAATTACATCATTGAAATCAGGACTTAATGTAATGCCATACGAGTTGACTAGCGATAAACTCGAACCAGTTTTCGCGCTGTTATTAATGGCGAGGATTTAGTGAGATCGCAGTGCATCAATCTTCCTTTGCGAAAATAAATGTGGCCACTGGGTACAAGTCTGGTCTTGCGACGCAAACGCAAGCTCAAAAAATCCTTAGTTCGCTGTGAACACTGCCCAGAAGCAAGCATAAATTCCAGCAAAAGGACAAAATTTGTCCTTGTCTTTGTCGCGTTTGCGTCCGTACGCTATTTCACTAGACGCCAGACTCTTATGCTTACACTTGCGGTTATGTTGCTGGTGAACACCAGGCATAACTCTTACAGAGGTGAACTAGATATAATACAGTGATTAGATAAAATTTTACAGGATGGACTCTTTAAAGCCTAACAATGACCAGAATAGAATTTCTTCCTACAGTAGAACCACTAATCAAATATAAAATTCATAAGAATAAAGCAAATGATCACTAACCGTAAGTCCTAACTGACAACAAATTTTTCTTATCAGTACAATAAGAAAGGCAGAGAACAGTATGGAGGAACAGGTACTCACTCGGAAGAGAATTAAAACGAGCTTCCGAACAATTTATTTTGTACAATCTACACACTTTGCACGGATTTTACATTACACTGTTAATCTCTTAACACTCAGGAAAACAGCCCAAAATATCCGAAAAAAAATTCCGAAAAATCTAAGAGCATTAAAAACAACAACAAAAAGACAAACCAGGAAAAGAAACTGCAGCCATTTTAAAATTTCATAGACTATTTCATTTTCCAACTCAGAAGTGAGAAAAAAAAAAAACACACTTGTAAATACAACCTGTTTCAGACGTATAGTTCTATATTCGCGACGTTCCGGCCCTTCCCTACCCCCTCATTATATGAACGCCTGGAACAGGCTACTGTTACCAAAGACATACGCCTCTACCAGTTCACCTCTTCGATAATTAGCACACAGATTACATTCAACAGGTACTCTGTGGCATGCGTTGTGCTCACAATTAACCTATGACCCGAATCGTACCGTGTAAAACAAACCGACGACAATCGCAAGTTTGATTTACATGATACGCGTCATGGCTGTACCTTGTTAACCTGCGTTTTGAAAATCGCAATAGTAGAAGGGCACGCGCGAGTAAGACGCGTGTCCCGCCCCGCGCGTGACCTAAAGTCCCTCGCAATTTTCAAATGGAGTTTTCTCGCAAGTTGGGAGGCTTGAGACGTACTTTGTACATGTAATGAGCGCTTAACTGTAGTTTACTTGAACAGGCACATAACGTGACTCTAACTAATTACAAAAAGTATCTAAATAATGATACAGCGCACACTTACTTAAAAACAAGATTCCATGAAGAATTCATGCCTTAAATTTTCAGGGTCTGTCCAAGCCTGTCTGCAAAACCTTGGGCTACCACGGGGGCCAAATATTACTGCATGTATCAATAGCTGGCTATTTTTTCAAGCGTAGAGCTCCCTTTTTGGCTGATGACGACTCTCCAGTCTACAAGCAATACTATGGGACAGCGGTCAAATGTTTGCAAAACAGAAATGTGTGTGGCTACAACAAGACTGAATTTAGGCCAGTTTTTATGTTTGGAAATCACAGAAATACTGTATCAGTGACTCGGTCTTTCATGAATACTATAGCATGACTCCGGACTACAAACAGCACTGAGGTCACGCAAGAGAAGTAACGCAAAGTCAAATGACTTGCTAAGCATGTATAAAAATAGGATTTTTATAAAATAGAGTGGCACGTTACCTTGGAAACAAACCAAAGCAAATCAAAAGAACCAGCACTAGACAATAAGCGCTAGCAAAAAGGGTGAAGATGATTGGACAGTGAGCGAAAGCGTCGAGCTTCCTAAAAGATATATTAAATACAGAAATCTAAAAATGCTTTTGTTTTAATTCGCTGGTGTGTCTCCTTCTTCCGGTTCAACCTCATCGCCTTCGTCTCCCTCGTCTTCTTCGTCTTCCTCCTGTTCAACTCCTTCATCTTCTTCGTCATCCTCTTCCTCGCCCTCCAGAAGAACTTCCTCCTTGAAAAACATAAGATGTTGTAGTTGCTAAATTCGAATCTCGCTCAATAATAGCCTGCTCCAGGCGTTCAGATAGTAGAGCGCGGGAGAAAAATTCACGAAGCTCGCCCCCCCCCCCCCCCCCCCCCCCCTTGTTTTCCCGGTGTACAATTTAACTCGCTCCCCATTGACAGCCGCGCTTTACTATCTGAACGCCTGGAACAGGCTAGCTCAACAATAAACAATTATTATACTCGTCTTTTGTGATATTCGGAATAATCAAGGTCGAGCCCGCGTTATCAGCCGAGCCCGAGCCGAAGGCCGAGGCCGATAACACTTACCCAAACCTTGATTATTCCGGATATCACAAAAACCGAGTCTAAGAATTGTGTTATCATGTATTGTTTCTTAAAAAATAAAAACAAACACAGCATCGCATGGAACACAGTTTGACAATGCTCTTGGAAATCATGCATCGCGCACGCAACCTACAGATCTGTCCCTAATCTGCTAGCAGAGAACTAACTAATCTGTAGGTTACGCTAATTTTCAAAATTAAACGTAGGCTCTTAGCCAATGAGAAGACACAGTGAGTACAATGTATAATAATAGATAATAAAGGCACTAGATGGGAACCACCGGAGCCAGATAAGCGCCATGGATGGGTCAGGGGTCACGTGTCTCCCTCAAAAATACCATAATATTCAGGTTTGGGTAGTGCGTCATGAAAGCCTCACTTTCCAATGTCTTTTGTTCTAAATTAGAACTGCACGTGCTTTTCATATGAACTTTTCGTCATTTGAATACTTTAGTTTACACAATTGTATACGAACGGAGTTGCGCTAACGTTGGCTACAATAAACTACTGAAGAAGTTCGTTTCTAAAGAAAAAAAAGCTGTTGCGTCGGAGGAGGACAGAAGCGAAAATATTCGGTGACATCAACTGAGTTAATAAGGTAGAAAACACGTTAGCGAAACGATTACGACACTGGCAAACAGGACGTAGGCGGAACCACCCTAAACTCATTGGCCACCGTCGAGGGGCGTGGGGGTTGGTTAGAGACCTCACGCAACAAAAGCCAATGGTTTCGCTCCATAGCGAGTTAGCCCTCTACTAGTAAGTCCCGTAAGAAATTGAGTTCGCCCCATAGTGAATTAACTCCCTGGGAAATAGCCACGTAAATTAAATGTTTTTCAAAACCTAACCTGGTTAAAAGAGATTGAAAGGGTTGATTTTCATAAGCAGCCGGACTCAATTTCGCCCTTCACAAAGTCCTTCGAAGTCTTTTACATGTTATATTAATCTCAGGCAGTTAAAATGTATCAAATTTTATATAGTCACTTTCACAACTTTACCTACGGGTAAATTACGAACCGTCCAAAAATGACCAACTGCTAATTGGCTTGATAGCTCAGTATCACAATATTTTGTTCATTAAGCCCAGTGCAAATGCCCACAACTCCAAAAAAAGTTGGGATCTGCAGTGCATTGTGGGAAGGATATAACCGATAAGATTTTGGAGACAATGTAGAATGCGTGTGCGTGGCCCCAACAATGGAAGAGCTGTACGAACAGATCCAACATTGTTGCGCTACGCTTCGGCGAACAAGGAACGGGAACAAAAGAAGTGTTGGGAGTCGTTGGCTCATAGGTTTGACTGGTTTCAAACTTTGCGCAACAACTCCCAAAAATACACAACAACATGCGTCAACATGCAACTGGTGTGCCAACGGGCGCAACATGTAACATCCAACAATGTTGCGTCCGTTTGCACGGGGCTTACAATGTTCATGCCCTACTCTTACCCCTGGTTCCCCTTCTTCATCATCACCATCTTCTGGTTCCTCGTCTTCTTCATCCATTTCATACACGACTGGTGTTTCCCCCTCATCACCCTCTGCCAAATCTTCTTCCTCTCCTTCTTCTACCACCACTTCTTCTTCCTCCTCCTCTTCCTCGTCCTCCTCGTCATCCTCAACTCCTTCTTCTTCATCACCTTCATCATCCTCTTCTCCTTCATCTACTACCACCACATCATCCTGATGGTTGATGCAGACAACGTTGGTCAGTTGTTTTCAAAGATGGCAGTAATGCCATCAAAAAGCATTTTCTCTTTTCATTGTTATCCTACGTACTAATGTAGCCACAAAAGCCAGGCATACTCAGACTAACCCAGTTTCTGCAGTAGAGAGCAATTTTGAATATTGCCACTTCTTCTTAGCTAGGGGAGTAGGAATACCCACAATACCTTAAGATTCTGAGACGAGGAAGACTACGAACAGGAGATTTTCTGAATACTAATAAGTAGTGCACGCGTGTGAACCAGCGTCATTTTGGCGGGAAAACGTAATAGTCGTCGCCATTCTGCAGCGGGTTTTAGCGAGAATGTCGTAGTAGTAGAAACAAGTTATCAAATGTTATAAGTTTTATCATTTGGCGCTCGGGAGAGGGCTTAACCTCCTTCAATAAAAAAATAACCGTGCTAACTTTTCTGGTGAAAAAAATAGAATAAAGCTTTGAAGGATGTCGATTTGTTTTTTGAATAGGCGACAGTGGCGGATCCAGGCCTTCAGATGAGGTAGGGGGGAAGGGGGGTGGTCTCAAAAAACTTTTTCCGGCCCTTCGGGCCTCAGTTTGGTCCAAAAATAAGGGGGGGCCCGGGCGAAGACAGGCACCCACCATTAAACAGTACAGAGGCGGGGGGGGGGACATGGAGAAACAGCCTTTTTCCCCTCCACTGGTTTGAATTTTGAAACCTCATATGAACATCAAAATGAGCTAATACTGTAACTTCTTACAATACAATGTTTAAAGCTATAATTATTTCTAGCTATAACTTGAAGACTGACACAAAAACTGACACTGCTCCACATTTTACTCGCTCTGTGATAACGAATACACTACAAAAGTGTAAGAGAACGGATAATGTCTGGAGTGTATACAGGGGGGGTTGGACTTGTAAGCAGGGGTGGGGTGGGCCCTTTTAAGTGGAATATCTTTTGTTTGCATGTAGATTTCAAAATGGTGGCAATATGACTTTTCTTCTATATTATATAAATGCAGAAACCCATAAGGGGTTGAAACGTGTAACTCGCGTCCAATGCTTGTGAATATTCATTTTGACCATATTTGGAAATCTTAGTGACGGATATCCATTTTCAACAAAATGGCTGCTGCGCGATCACCATGCAGATGTTTTAAGACAAGAGTTCTGCATTTCAAGGTTAAAAATACACCGTTAAAAGACAAAAAATGGAAAGAGAAAGTTCAAAAGAATGCTCAGCTTTCTTTTTGTGGAGAAAGGGAAGCTTTTCATCAAGAAATCGTCCTTCGACGAATTCAACTTTGTTTTCTTCACGGCGGAGCCCATGGTCTGTTTTAAAAATGCAACCAAGTCAGCGAAGATTTTGCTGAATTTTCAGGTACATTTTGCACTCTATGGCCAAGACAATTACGTTTTTGAAAGGGAATTTATGTATTTTTAAATGTTTCATAGACGTTTTATAAATTTTTCTCTTCGGCGCTAAAGAAAAATTACAAAATGTGCCCTGATTTGAGATGGATTTTGTGTTGAATTTTGCCATGTGCTTAGCCAATGTCACTTGCGTGAACGGATCCACGATCCAGATAGTGTTTTCCGAATTGCTTTAAAGGATTAACCTTTTGGACTTTGAATAAAAATTTTCAAGAAACGGCTTCTCTGTCTATTGTTTTGAGTTTGTTCATTCATAAAATTAGCTCAAAACACGATCGTGACTACAACATCTAAGTTTAATTTAAGCTTTTAAAATGCTTCTCACATTCATTACAAGCATCACTTTTTGCGAAGATGTCAGGTTCAGGTTTTGGACACTTTCGATACGCAGCTAATGAATTTTATTCGAAAATATTTTTCACTGCTTATTCTAGACTTTTAACATAAGAATTTTAAAAGCCTATTTGCAGTGTAAGTTTACTGTGCAAAGGGTCAACGAGGCATCGTTTTTTGAAGTGACAACTTCAAGAAGTTGCGAGGCCGTCAATGGGTTTCATAATGTGACGTTTGGCCCGGGTGGTAAGGCAATAATATCCTGCTCAGTGTTTCGATAATATTCCTGGTTTTAACCTTTGAAAGCTTTGTCGGCTTTCGGGAGTTTTTCCCCCGTTTGTAGGCCATTTTTTTAAGCGGGCGCGGGAACCTGAAGTAAAATTACGTCACGTTGTTTGCGAAGTTTGATTGGTTAGTTATCTCTTCTTCTCGTTCCAAATATGGTACTTTCTAAAATGAATAATCACGAGCATCAGACAAAGCAAACATATGAGAGTTACACGTTTCAACCCCTTATGAGTTTCTGATAAATGTAAATCAGCCCTCTTTACTGCAATTATATTCACAGAATTCAAAAGAACTTTTTTCCTTTCAAAGAGAGACAATGGGAACCAATTTTCATGAAGAGAAAAGAACAAAAACTAAATTTGCCACCATTGAGGCTGAGTATAATTTAAAGAATTATGCGCGTTGAAAAGAATGCATATTGAATTATGCATAATAAAACGCCTCAAAAAGTAGATTGATAACACCAATCAAGCAATTTATTTTTTTGCATATTATCATATTTCTTCCATTCAGTTTTTTTTAGAAATAAGGCTATTTTGTCTATGAATAGCCATGAAGGCTATTTTTCTTTAGTTTAGACTACCGTGATCTGAAGCCTTGCACAACTGAAGAGGTTCTCGCCTGGGGTCAATTTAATAAACCTTTTACAAGTGTTATTTACAAGTTTAGCCATTGTTATAGGGTCTGAAAACAACAGCTACACATGTAAGGTTTTATTAAAGTGTTCCCCGGAAACAAGGCTGCTAACAATATTAAATAGGTACCATCAAATCAATGAGTTATTGCCGACAATTTCCAAATATGGTAAGCACCAGCCGGTTATGAAGAATTAATTGGGGGATTGGAGCCAATCAGAAACAGCAAAATATGCCTTAAATCCAGGCAAGCTTATGACCAGAATTCTGTGATTTGTACCACATGAAAGCCTTCAAGTGTACAGACCCACCTGATCCTCAGATTCATCTTCATCAACATCTTCCTCATCTTCTTCATTATCTTCCTGAAGTACACTTGTTGAATGACCCTAAAAAGCAGTTTTGATAGTGAAAGATGTTATTCATTATGATTTGTGTCTGATGAGTTCATTCCTCACTCATCTTAAAGTAGCCACTACTGATTTTGTTACAAATAGTTATGGTGAGTCCTGGGACTCATCTTGTGAAAAATCAGGCGTCCCTGTACATAACCAATGAGAATCAGTTCAGGAAAACAAAGAGTCCTAAATTGAAGATGTTTAGGCCTCTCTGTAACCAGACAGTTGACCTGGACAAAGACGCCAAAACTCTTTATTTACAGTTTACTGATCGAAGAAATCATATGAACAGTATATTTTACCAGAAAACTCTTCAAATCAATCGATCATTCTTTGCGTTCTATGGGACACATCTTATAAGTTATTTTGCATCTTTGGAAATCTTTATGCGTCAGGGATGCAGGATGCAGAGGTAACAAAATCATTGAGTCACTAAATGAACACCAATAGTTAGAAGAGAAAACATCACATCAACATCAAAGTGACTGTTGCCTGACAGGCAAATAATAAACAAAGCCTGTAAAACTAGATTTAAAAAAAAAAAATTAACTGGCCAGTATTTCTTTGTCTAGTCTTATTTAAACCACCATAAACTCTGGCTCAAACTTAAAACCAAATGATGATAAGGCCTAAGTCTGTTAAATGATCTGAGCATTATTTGTCAGGATCTCAACATTTTTTGAGAGATTTTGAGACAGGGCTGGAAGAGACAGCCACAACATTTTCTTGACAAATATGAATAGATTATCATGTTTTTACCACAAAGGAAAGGTGGAATAATTATTGATACATGTACATCTGGGTGTTGGTGATGTTTCACAAAGTGGACAGAATGAATCACTTAGTGTGAACAATGTTGTGACTGATTTTAATACCAGAGCTCACTAATAACAAAACAAACCCTACCAAAAAATACTGGATGGGGTTTGGCCAAATGTCATCTTTTATAACTTCTCCCAACTCATCCCCAGCCTCCTGCTCTGTAAACCAGCAGAAGAAGCTTTGTGGCTCCTGATGACCTCGTTTTCTTCCCTTTAACATGTTCTGCTGACTGTACCGCTGAGTCAGGTCCTGTATAGAAACATAACAAACAAATTAATAATAAGATGAAAGCAACTGAACCACTTCAATACAGTAAAATCTGTTTTTGAATTTTGTGTTCTGGTTGGAAAACTGAAATCTGTTCTGAGGAAAATCCAAATCCAGATTTCCCAGTAGAAAGTATGCTTTATGATATGTCTACTTTACAATCAAACCAGCAAAACCGTGAACACTTGAAATATTTCAGGAATGTTTATTGTGTTAAGACCAATCACAGCAAAGATCAGGACATGCAAAAAAGCCACAATACTGCAAACTAATTACCTTTCTTACTTGCAGTTTAGTTTCTTACGCCCAATTGGCTTGTTTCTTGCAACAAAATAACATTCCAGAATTATTTCTGGTGATCATGATTTTCCAGGTTTGATGGAAAAATTTACAGAACAACATTAAAAAAACAAAGCTTAAGAAATAAATTGCTTTAACTCAAGACAAACCAAATTCTCACCATTGAGCACAAGGCACAGATGACCAGCTTTCCTAAATTTTAATCTGTTCTGTTTTACAAAAAACTCAGTTGGCTATTTAACATAACAACATGGCTGAAACTGAACTCCAGATTACTGTGAATTGACTAAATGCAATGGTTATACTAAATAGCATGCAGGACTGACTTGCAACTGCCAGTCTTCAAGTTTATGACTGCCCTAACCACTTGATCATGCTGTGTCACAATAATGATAGATGTTTTAATTTGAATTGACCTTATTAGAGTGATGAAAGCAAGAAAGGCAAATACTTTGCCTTTCATTGCAGGTGACCTCATTGCTTCTTTTTTTTCCTACTATGATAAGTACAGAGTGACAAACAGACAGACATAATCATTTCTAGGTCAGAATACATTATGAGTAATTAGCCAAATTTCATCTTACCATGCCCCCTTTCCACTTGATAGGCGTAGCCAAGGAAGACTGATCACCATTTTCATTGAGAATAAATTCCTTGTATAGCACTTCATTTGTAAAATATGGATTTTCTGTGAAGCCCTTCAACAAAACAAATTATGAAAAATTAGGTCCTTTAATGGTTTTAGCGTGGAGATGGAATACAGAGGTGTCATCTTTGAATCATCATCGCTGTGATCATTTTCTCTTTTTGTCTGTTTCCAACATTTTGTCACAATTTACACAACATTATCATTTAAAGGAAACATTACATCTAGTGATTTTGAAATCTCTTATTACTAAAAGAGACAACCAAGGAACTTACAAACTTTATTCTGTATCCTGATTTGATGTCTTCAAACTCTTCAACTTCTAGAAATGTCATGTACTGTAACGCTTCTTCATCTTCTTCATCAATCAACACCTGCNTCTTACCATGCCCCCTTTCCACTTGATAGGCGTAGCCAAGGAAGACTGATCACCATTTTCATTGAGAATAAATTCCTTGTATAGCACTTCATTTGTAAAATATGGATTTTCTGTGAAGCCCTTCAACAAAACAAATTATGAAAAATTAGGTCCTTTAATGGTTTTAGCGTGGAGATGGAATACAGAGGTGTCATCTTTGAATCATCATCGCTGTGATCATTTTCTCTTTTTGTCTGTTTCCAACATTTTGTCACAATTTACACAACATTATCATTTAAAGGAAACATTACATCTAGTGATTTTGAAATCTCTTATTACTAAAAGAGACAACCAAGGAACTTACAAACTTTATTCTGTATCCTGATTTGATGTCTTCAAACTCTTCAACTTCTAGAAATGTCATGTACTGTAACGCTTCTTCATCTTCTTCATCAATCAACACCTGCAGCTGCGGATGATTTATAAACTGTGCACCAAAGTCAAGTCAATGAAATTCTTCTATTTTTTGTTTTTAAATTTAGAATTCAGATAACTTAGGCTAAATGTTTAACTATTCATGAGATGAACCAAATTGTACTTTGGGTCTACCTAAATATGTTAAGTTCGTCTGTTGGTTCAAACGTCGAACTAATGAAGCATTAAACTAATTAGACATCATCACCTGAGCAGAATGAAAGATTGGAACTTTATTAGTCCAGTTTGGCTCCTCTCATGAAAAGTTTAATGTTTGGCTTGGGTGTTAACTTCTCATAACATCAGCTCCATATCTTTTTGTCTACTCTTAAAAGAGCTCTTAAAAACTGTATTCAAAAATTGATGTTTATCAGAAACTGCATTTATCTTCCACATTTTCCTTTTTATTTAGTGTGAATAACCACATCTACTGTAATAGCATAGTTGCCACTAAGAAACTAATCCGAACAATAAATGTGTCAACCAAAATAAAGTTTAAGTTTTTTAAAAAATTAACACTAATAGACTGCAAACTCTACTTTCATGGCACAATGGCTTGATTCTTATAGGAAAAATGGGCTACTATAGACACAGCAGATACCCAAAACTTTTCAGTGAGAACAACAATTAATTTATTTTTTTAATAGTTTTAAATGAAAACAGTAACTCTTTCAACCCCTAGTAATTTTTCCACAGCAAAAATACTCATAGCTCCATAATATAAAAAAAAGAAGGAAAAAAACTATTTTGGTATATAAATCATGTCATTTTACATGAAGTACTACTTGTAAGCAATGAAATTCAGTCATGCTACTTTCTCTGTTCTAATGTTATATGTGCAAAGGCATTTGTGAAAATGTACCAATGACATGTATAATGACATTTATTCGGAAGGTCAACCAATCATATAAAAAATCTGTTTGACTTTGATAAGGTTTCTATATGTCCTGCTTTAACAAATCAATTTTCTCTGCCAAATTCCCTATCCTTTTCTTGGCAACCCCGATGACATTGCCAACTGGATAACATTGTCCACAATTTGTGAAAGCAAGGAGGTGCTACAGGAAAAAATATGTGAAATGAAATGTTTCGTGGTCACTGATGCAGTGCATAAAGATACCCCCTCCCCCAAGTTATCTTAGAGATAACATTTTTAGCTAGACAGAAATGAAATTCTCCTACAGATTTAATGTCAATTGGTGATAATTTGATTTCTTTTACAGGCATTTTTCAGTGCTTTTTATTCCTCTGAATAAATTTTCTTCTGTTACACACACAAGCGAGTGGACTAGGAAGTCTGGGTACTAGTAATATATCACCGCCCACCGTTGATCGATCACCTCCATTTTGTTTTGTTGCTAAAACATCGCTCCCGAAAGCTCACAACACTTTCCTGTTTTAGCTAATTTGGCACATCTAAAACTTAATACCTGGAAATATCAACTTGGATTATCATGACTTAATACAGATTTGGAAACGGTGGCAGTTATTTTTCCTCACTGCTCATCAGTTGCAAAATGTGGTTGGCCCGATCGATTATGAAGAGAAAATAATCAAATTTCTCTGGAAATTATAACCTACTGGTTAAAACTTCTCTCCTTTCCATACCATTTTTTTAAAGTGACTGTTGGGTCCATTGATACCTTAGTTATAATATGAGTAAGTGATCGACTCAAAAATATCTTCTCTCAAACATCAGACTACTTGTTGCGTTACTTCATGAGTAAAAATATAACTAGACCCGCGCACTGGCATGGTATTGTTCACCTGGTAAGCAAGTCAAAACTACAAAGGATCTTTCCCCAAAATTAATCTGTAATGAAAGGAAAATTAAATAATGTTCCAATTTTCTCTGATAAAACAGTTGTTCATAAAAGGACAGTGCAGTCCAATAATATTAAACAAGATTAAATAAAAATCATCCTAATTCACTCCTAGACGCTAAAAAACAAACTTACCCTGTAACAAGCCAAAGCGCAGTTTAAGCACTGACTTACAAGCTTAAGTGCAAATTAAAACAAAAGGATACGACCGTCATCCAGAAGTGGGGAATCCGTCTTGTGAGGTCTGTTCTCTGCTGAAAGTAAGGTTTTCGAAGTCGGTTGTATTTCTGTTCAACCTTCAAAATCTCCTCGGATGCCTGCTCATTTAGTGCATCTATTTGATTCTGCACCGCGTTGATTTCTTCTAAAATTTCATGTTGATCCGTGTGGGAGTTTTGTGCTCCGTCAACTGCGTCAACTTTCCTGATCTTGTTGGGAGTTACACTTGGATTAGACATGATAAAATACACGGCTATCCCTCCAAGCTCTCTCCAAGTTTTCGAACTTTCTTCAGTTCGGAGATGCCCGCGTTCTTCTTTGCGATTGGAGGTGTCCGCTGACAAATAGTACTGTAATAGAGTTTTGGCGGTCTTTTCTTTGTTCTCGATCTCTCTTTCAAGTGAACAAAATCTCTTTATGTGCGGGGAGGGGGTAACATAATCAAATTTATTTTTCTAGTTGTACATGGAAAAGTCCTCAAAATCACTAAAATCAATTATTTTGCATAGACAATGACAGAATGTTCTTACTTCCCGGGCCAAGCTCGAGAAATCGGTTGACGTGCACAATCCCTTGACCCTATGCTATCTCTTCTTCTGGCTTTACGCTGCACTAGCCTTGTTGCTGGCATGTCATCAAATGGGTAGGAAAGATACTCTAAGTTGTTCCATGCCAAATAAGTCAATTTATTGCTACTGTCAACTGCCCGTGAACTGCTGGTGTCCCTGTGATGTGTGCCCATCCCCTTTCTCTTTACTGTTTCCCGTTCCCTGTAAACTCAAAGACGTTTCTCATAGATAAACGACGAATGCTTAAAAATACAGCGTAATCTATACAGTGTATTGTGTTAGTAGAAATCAGCCGGTATACTCTCACGAATCCTGTAGGCTGAGTGACTGACGCACTCACTATCCATGGTATGGCGTGACAGATAGTGAGTATAGTAGGCCTAGTAGCCATAGTAGCCGAGCCAGCCCGTGTTTTGACTTACTTGTAGTACCAAACAAGTGGCAACTTCTATTTAAAAGACTGTTTTTGTGATGTTTTTGGGGAAGAACTAGCAAAGTTAAATAAATTTTTTCAGTCTAATGGTGCTATCCCGGGGAAAAATGAAAACCTGCCAAAATATACCGAATGAACATTGTAAATGGCAAGAAGGACAAACTTACTTGCTTATTTGTTACAAACTCGTAGTTACTTCTGTCATTTATGTCTTCAAAACATTTCAATTAATGTCTTTTTAATGCTTATTTCACCGTTTCATACACTTCAACTCCTGAATTCCCTACCCTTTGATGTACTTGAAGCCTGAAGAAGGTACCCCTTTCTAGCTGGCAGAGCTTCCCCGCATAATGATACATTATTATAGGAAGTAGTCCCCTGGGATAGAACACTGGGGGCCCAGTTGTTCAAGGACGATTAGTGCTAACCCGGGGTTAAATTTTAATCCAAGTTTCTTTTCCTTGCTCAAAAGCATTTTCTCCGATGATTTTCTCCATTCTCTTTTAGCATCCAATCATCAAATTGTAGGCAAAAAGAATTAAGCCGAATTTTTTTTAAGCTTTAATAGCGGAATTCAAATTTTTGCATTAACCCTGGATTGGTTTCTATCCAGCTTTGAACAACCCGGTCCGCCGGCATTAAGAAAGGAGTGGCGGACTAATATCAGAAAGAGGCCTTGAGCTGCGGCCAACTTGCCGACTCCGTTCCTACTAAAACCACACCGGAAAGGAAACTCTGATAGAGGAGAATCTGCGTGAGCAGGGATGCTTGCTATCTTGTAACTTTTCGGGTGCAAAAGCAAATTTTGAAGTCAAAACCAGTTAAATAGTACCACAGTTCCTAGCTCACAACCTGGCCAATTTTGCTTCATTAACTGATAGTTACATGAAATCATTTTCAAAATTACTGAAACTTTGATGAGGCAAAAATAAAACATTTTTTGGGGCCCGAAAAGTTGTTGGGACTTTCGAAAAACCAGGGTGCCCTGTAACCTGAGATCAGGCCCAACTTTAGCGGTTCTCATACATTCTTTCTTACGGCCAGCGCTTCGCCATGCCCGCCGGAATGTAATTTTCAAAGCGAAACGAACATAGAGCCTGATCTCAGGTTAGGTGCCCTGTGACTTTTCAAAATATAAACTAGAATGGGGCGGTTACTCAGCTAGTGACAAATCGCACGTGAAGTGATGCAATTTTTCTACTTCTTGGTTTGATCCATCTTATCCAACTGGTGTGAAGGTGTTTTTGTCATTTTTCATTCGAAAAAAGAGATGCTGAGATCTGCCTTAGCTGCTGTTAAAAATGCAGCTATACATCCAGAGAAATACAGACAACTAAATCCAGTTCAACTGTCACGTTTGATGGGTCTACAGTTCAGATGTTATACAACGCAGACGACCCCTGACTCAAATTCTTCCGAACAAACTACTAATCAGCAAGATCAGCAAGCATCTGATCCACAGAAGAGGGCTGATGAACCGGCGAAGGAATCGAAAGAAAGTGAACACGACCGTCTTTTAACAGAAAAGGAAGAGTTATTGAAAGATCTTCAGGTATGTTATATAAGATGTGATATTTGATATGGATTTGCCAATATACATGCATGTTACATCATAAAAACTTTTAAAGCTTGAATCGGTAAAATAAAATTGACTTTTCACTTTAAATCTTATTATGGAATTTTAAGAGTGAAGGATGTTACTCTCTGATAGTCCTTAGACCGATTAATTTCTTCGCAATGAAAAGACTTCCTCAAAAGTGTTTCTTTGGGAAACCCCAACATGGTCACCCAAATCGAAGTAAACCTAGAAGATGGGGGCGTAAGGGTTTGCGGTATTGGGTTATTTTTGGTGCGGTGCTGCGGTAATTTTTATTTCAAAGTACGGTATTGCGGTTTTCAGAGTCCAAGCGGTGTGCGGTGAGTTTAAATTTTATGTCGCGGTAGTCGGTGAAAAAATCGTTGTGTCTCGGTGATCTGCTTCTTTTTCATGACAAGAGGATACAAATCCTAAAAGGTCTCTCTAGCTAGCCTGCGTGACCCGCGTGTCTTCCTATAGTGCACAGTCGGGTATCGTATATTGCGCAAACAGTCCAGACAAATCGTATGGCTTGTAATTTCAGTTAATACTTGATATGATTAACGACATTAACTTTTTTATCCAATGATACGTAAACATGTCGCATTATTTATGACCTCATGGACCTTGTGGGAATAGTCAGCTCGGTTAATAACCTCCTTACCAATCTTACCGCCACTTTCGTGCCAGCCGCGAAACAATGGCGAGCTATCCAGAGGGTCAACTGGGTGATCAGTCATATATGCCAGCAAATAGTGAGGTCAGTGAGGTCGTTATAAATTGTGCAGTGTCGAAAGATGATCTATGAAGATGGTGTGGTCTAAAAATTACTCCTCGTCCTTCTCGTTGTGCATGCAAGAATATACGGAATGTACAAGTATTCGTGTGTGCTTAGCCTACGTAGCATGGCAGCCCGGGGGAATTTACAGTTAGCAAACGTACCAGAATGTTTGTACTGTAGATGAAAAGTAAAGTGTAGATGAAAAGTAAAATGATCAATTCATAAGAATAGAAAGTGACTAAGCTGGGATCGCGAACAATAAATATTTGTCCAAAAGTGACTAAGATGGGGTCTATAATCAGTATAATTGGCCACAGAATGAACTATAATGGGGTAGGGGCTCTGAGAGGCCAGCGACACATACCCAGCAAAAATTAACCCAAGTACCCCTGTTGTTTCATTTAGGGACGGACCATTAGAAAAGTTAGGGGGGGAGGGGAATTTTCGAGCCCCAGGAATTTTTTTTTGTTATCAAATTCCTTGTATGAATGTTTTTTAGGCCATAGCATGAATAATAAGTTTTCTAATGGTCCGTCCCTTACGTAAACGTATACATATAATGAACAAAATTAAATGAGTGCGATGATCTTATGTTTATCGCACGCTTGACTTCGACGCATCTTGACTTGGAAACACTGACATAGAAGTATTCACTTTCTATTTGAACGGAGGATTTGTAGTATTGAAAAAGTCAACTTTTTCCCATTAATTTTTAACTGCAGTTTCAGTATTTGGCTAATTTTTGATGCGGTATTGCGGTATTCTCGCGCTACCATGTGCGGTATTGCGGTATTCGTACCCCCCTTACGCCCCCCTCCTAGAACTACATACATTGACACCATCAAGGCTGACACTGGACTGGACAATACCAAAGAGATAAGAGATGCAATGCTTGATCAGGTCGTGTGGAAAGATTTTTTTAGGAGAGCTTGGGATGATTCTTGGCCTAAGTAAGTAAGTAAGTAAGTAAGTAGACGTGGTATCAGTGGATTGGAAACCGGTCATTTCGATACAAACTCACGCTTAATACATGTACTCTTCATTCTATAAGCCAACTATGCGAACCGTTTATAAGTCAAATGAATTGATTTGTATCAAAACAACCAGTACTGAGCGGAGGATTTTAAGCATGCAGTTTGATTATCCTCCTTCTGATTGTCATTAATGAGGCCCTCTAGAGGGGTTTGGTGTGGTATGTATGTCCGTAGTATGGTTGTTTCACATGTTGAGGACCAGGCCATATCCCCATCAGTATTTACACCATCTTTATGTCGTTTGTCACCATATCATCTGGTCTTACCTCGCTGTTTCAAGGCCATGTCGCTTGTCGGAATTTTACCCTAAAAGGGTCTCATTAATGGTGATGGGGGTTTGGTAAAGAAAGCAGTCATCATAAAACACAGACTGTGGACAAAGTATAGACCAAGCAGTTTAAACCGTGGCTTACCTTACAAGGAAGTTTTCCTTGACGAGGAAAAACTGGTTCAAGGAAATCTTGTTTGTGCAAACAGGGCACAAGACTTGGACTTCAGATCGTGTTTTAAATATGGGCTATGCAGGGCTAAAAAAAAATTTACAGGTTGCGTGTACATAGAAAATGTGGATGAAGGTGTGTTAACACTGTCAGCATTTTCTGTTAAAATGTCTGTCAAGAGACCTCTCTGTGAAGATTTCATTTGTCATTATTGCTTTTGTCTTCGAGGCCTTTGGTGGCAAAGTTATATTGAGTGTACCTGTCTATCATAATTTTTTAAGGAAAATAAACCACTAAATTTTAAACCACCCTGCAGCCTCACACAGGTATAGAAAACTAGGTATTTCCATGGAATAACCTTTGTTGAAGAACATAACCTGGCATTGTCAACTTCTTGATTTGGCACTTCTTAGATACATGATTGTCTTTTACTGATTTTAACAGTGTAACAACAGTTACACAGTTATTCTCCGGCTCATTTAAGAGCCTGAGTAGTGCATGAGGATACATGTATTGCTGTTTTAGGTCTGTGCTGAGGTCATCACTTTGTTCCTGTATCCATGCGCAAAATGCTCCTTTTAGGGTGTAAAGAAGGTGTCAAACAAGTTTCATCAGGGAGTACTAACCATAATAATTATGGGTGTTAAGTTAATTTGCAGGCATACACTCAAACATTCAATCCATGTTCATCCTTGACCTTGACCTTGATCTATTGTAAGAGACTACAGGAACAGTTCTCAATGCCTAATTATAGTCTTAAATAGCAAAACTGGACCATTATTTTTGGAATTCAAGTGATGCAAAGACAAGTTTAAGTTATTTGATAAAAGATTACAAGTAGGGTAGCATACACCTGTAGCCCCTTTAAAAAAAAAGAAAAATAACCACATATACATGTAGATCAATATAAAACCAAACATTGAAGTATACCAGCTTGACTTAATTTTTTGAATGGATGGGCAAGGAAGCTAATAGGGTTTATGGGTTTTCTGGATTAAAATATTATTCCTTGTTAAAATCTTCAAAACTGAAGTGTGAAGTGCATTAAGCCTCTTTTGTGGATCAATCATTTCTCAACCTGGTTATTTTATGGGGGAACATACACACATTGGACTCCTGTCAGGCATTTAGAGCCTCAACCCCTCCCCCCACCCCCCAGAAAAAAATCATTTGACCACTGATTAACCATTTGACAAGAACTTTGTCAGCGGTCAGAGTAAAAGCATTTTTCACTTCATGTAATGCAGCATATTGTGTCATTATACCTTCTTCCTGTAGAGAATTACAATTTACATTTACAGTGTACATGTATTCTTTCCCACCAAATGTATTATTTAGGGTTGTGGCATAGACAAGCATAAATTAGTTTGTGTAATCAAATGGTGATGAGTAAAATTAGGGAATAATTTCATGTGCATTTTCTCCAAATCCTAAGAATTTGGACAAAACACTTGTAAGTGAAATTATTTCCTAATTTCACTAGCATACCATTTGATTACCTATTAATATCATAGGTGACAAATTAAGCGCACAATCATGGGTTTTTGACATGTTTACCAGGATTTATCATATCGATGGAGAACTCCACGCCTTGAAAAGATTAAAGCTTAAATTTTGGCTTAAGTTCAGAATTTTCAGAATTTTTCCAAAAAAAACCTGATAGAATTCTTCTTGACCTGTTCTTTCATGTGTTAAGTTTTTTTAAGGTGGCTCCGTCACTAATATTGGAGCATTTAGCTGTGACAAATTTTCCGTCATAACTTTTTCGTTTTTAGAGCGATGGCTGCGAAACTTTGCAAAGAACAACAGATATCATTGGGCAATAGTACGAAATATTCCGATTTCATCGATGGTAAATATTTCTTGAGAAATTAGCGCCTAAAAGGACCCTAGTGTTCAAAGAAAATCACGTCTAGTAAAAAATTTTTTCTGATATTTTTTACTGAAATTTCTGGTATCGGCTTTCATTGTCATAATAAATATGCTGGAGAAATTTCAGAAAAATCGTTGGCGCAGAAGTCCGTAACTAAAAGTCACTCAAAATTCAGCTGTGTAATTGTTTTGGAATTTCAAAAATAAGTTACTACTAGGTAGAAGGAGCCACCAGTTTGAATTTTCGGGACAAGTAAATTCAGTGTTTGCCAAAAATGAAAACAAAAGCTGATTGCCTATCGTGCTATTCTTTAAAAGATACTTTTAGTTTTAGTAGCACTATAAATTGCTCCAAACCTTGCTCCGACGTCGAATGACTTGTTCCTCGAGATTTTTAAAATATCTCTTGGCAGTTTTGGTTCAAACTCCTACTACATACATTTTGTTGTATTGCAATGCATCCTCAACGGCTTTTTCTGCTGAACATTGCTTCCATTTCAGGTAAAAGATATTGGGATTGTAAGCTACCTTGTAGCGAAGCTCAGATAGAACTGTCCAGCACCTTTGTTTATAGTTACGGACTTCTGCTCCAACGATTTTTCTGAAATTCCTCTCGCATATTTATTATGTCAATTAAAGCCGATACCGGAAATTTCAGCAAAAAATATCAGCAAATTTTTTTACTAGACGCGATTTTCTTTGAACAGAAGGGTCCTTTTAAGCCCTAATTTAGCAAAATATATTTACCATCAATGAAATCGGAATATTTCGTACTATTGCCGGATGATATCTGCTGTTTCTCAGCCATGGGGTTAAAAACGAAAAAGTTATGACGAAAACTTCGTCACAGCTAAAGTTCCCCCGTATTAATTACGGAGCCACCTTAAAACGTCCTTCTTCATTCACATCATCTTAAAACCTTGATGCCATCTTGGTTATGAGACATATAGAACGTTGCCATGTGAAATAGTAAATTAATGCTGAAATTTTGCACCACAATTAAGGAGTAATTTGTCACCTATAATATTAGGCTTTATGTTTCATAAAATTTTAGCATTACATTTAGCAACAATTTCTTGAAATCCATTTTCTGCTTTGTAGGACAAGTACAAACGCTCTCTAGCTGACAATGAGAACATACTGACCCGCAGCAGGAAGCAAATTGATGAGGCTAAGTTGTTTGGAATTCAGAGCTTCTCGAAGGATTTGCTTGAAGTTGCAGATATTTTGGGAAAGGCAACAGAAACTGTACCAAAGGATGAGGTTGAAAAGAATACTACTTTGAAGAATTTATATGAGGGACTTTTGATGACAGAAGTACAATTACAGAAGGTTTTCAAGAAGAATGGTCTTGAGAAAATCAACCCGATAGATGAGAAATTTGATCCTTACAGTCACGAAGCACTATTTCAGGTTCCATTTCCTGATAAAAAGGCAGGTACTGTTGCTGTTGTGGAAAAAGTTGGGTACAAACTTCATGGAAGGACACTGCGACCAGCACTTGTAGGTGTGGTCAAAGAATAGAACTATGTGTATTTAGTAGAATTTGTAACGATCTTTATTATAGTTTCTACATCCACAATGTACATGTATAAGATTGTTGTGCGCTGATATACATTTAAATATACACAAAAATTAGTTCCCATTTCTTTGATCCTTCGCTCTATGCGTGGTTTGTTTGTTCTGATTGTTCTTGGGGATTACTCCCATAGCTATGTAGGTACATCTGTGATGCATTTGCTGCCCCAAAGGGTCTGCTTTTGAGCCGTATTAGCCGGAAAAAGGGTATAAACTTTGCTCATTATGGAATGAAATATGATATGGTTTTCAAGGGAACCACGAAGGTAATTTTCCTTTTCAGCTGTAAATGAATAAGACCGTTCAGTGTCAAATACTGCTTAAAATGCTTATACAGTACATGTATATTGGTTTCACTCTGGGGTTGGCAAACCGAGTACANCTAGCTGACAATGAGAACATACTGACCCGCAGCAGGAAGCAAATTGATGAGGCTAAGTTGTTTGGAATTCAGAGCTTCTCGAAGGATTTGCTTGAAGTTGCAGATATTTTGGGAAAGGCAACAGAAACTGTACCAAAGGATGAGGTTGAAAAGAACACTACTTTGAAGAATTTATATGAGGGACTTTTGATGACAGAAGTACAATTACAGAAGGTTTTCAAGAAGAATGGTCTTGAGAAAATCAACCCGATAGATGAGAAATTTGATCCTTACAGTCACGAAGCACTATTTCAGGTTCCATTTCCTGATAAAAAGGCAGGTACTGTTGCTGTTGTGGAAAAAGTTGGGTACAAACTTCATGGAAGGACACTGCGACCAGCACTTGTAGGTGTGGTCAAAGAATAGAACTATGTGTATTTAGTAGAATTTGTAACGATCTTTATTATAGTTTCTACATCCACAATGTACATGTATAAGATTGTTGTGCGCTGATATACATTTAAATATACACAAAAATTAGTTCCCATTTCTTTGATCCTTCGCTCTATGCGTGGTTTGTTTGTTCTGATTGTTCTTGGGGATTACTCCCATAGCTATGTAGGTACATCTGTGATGCATTTGCTGCCCCAAAGGGTCTGCTTTTGAGCCGTATTAGCCGGAAAAAGGGTATAAACTTTGCTCATTATGGAATGAAATATGATATGGTTTTCAAGGGAACCACGAAGGTAATTTTCCTTTTCAGCTGTAAATGAATAAGACCGTTCAGTGTCAAATACTGCTTAAAATGCTTATACAGTACATGTATATTGGTTTCACTCTGGGGTTGGCAAACCGAGTACAATTTTCAGAAGCCAGGTCTGAAAACGGGTGTGAAAAGCAACTAGTTTTGGTCTGAAAAAGGGTTAGGATTTGGAGAACTGGGAGGCACCCCCCCTCCCCCCACGAATTGCTGGGAGTACACCCCCCAACCCGGGCCGTTGTTTTTTTGTGAGTGAGACAAGTGACTGAGACTTGCTACTCGCGGACTGAAAGTGAGTGCGGAGCGTTAGCAACAAGCTTGACCATAAAAAAGGGTTGGATAAGAAAAACATAACTCTGCACGTTTATGACGCTTTTTGGTACATTTCTTTGCGATCCTCTGTCATAATAGCTAGCGGCGTGGAAACTTAGCTGTTTTTGGCAGTGTTGAGTTCTCAGATATGCGAAGATAGGGTCTTGTCGTTCCCCAACACAACGCAATTGACATTTATCGAGTGCCTTTTTTGTATCCTCGCTATCTAGTTAGTCAGTTATTGGGCTGACCTCGTCCCCAGGGTCTACTCTTTCTCCAATATGGCGGCTGTTGAAACACCCTTTCATCACAGGAAACTGTGTAAGGTTTACTCCAACTGTGTGAACGCTTTGAATCAGGCTGTTATTTAGCGAGCAAACTCCAAAAAGAAAGGATTTCCGCCTGGAAATTAGGTTCATCACAACGGCAAAAGGGAGAAATCATATAGATAGGCTTTTTTTCAGTTTATGCTTTTTTCGATGCCCCAAAAAGTTACACCTTAAACATGATCCAGTTTCATTTAATTAATTGAAAACTTATTTTAGCAGTTTAGAAAAGTAGGCTTTAATAATAGAATAAGTTACGTGAATTTTAATTGCTTTTTACTATGTACAGTAAAGTGGTATGTGGTCCAAGGAAAGGGGCCTTTGCCAACTGGGAAACAAATCAGATATCGCTTACAAAAACCTACAAGAAATATAAGTTAAATAAAGACATGGTGTGCTTTTTAAGTATAAAAAAGGCATTAAATGGAACAATTTACCTCGGTAAAGCATATTACTGACCCATTTATGCGAATATGTGTTTCCATACAAAATAGAATAGATTGCCTCTTTTTGCCACCAACAAAGCTGGCTGCCAATTTAGATATTAAGTGATTGTCAGCGAAAATTGCATTCGTTATGCCTTCCACGGCACCTACTACCAGTGGAGGCACCTGCAGGGTTAACACAAGAGCGAAGAAAGTAGGGTGCTTTTTGCATAATATGTCTCTAGCCGATTTTTGAAAACGATCCTACGGAAATTTGAAGCCATTTGAGTGAGAAAGGCCGAAAGGCGGTTTTTTTACCCCCGATAACTGAACTCGAAAATCATACCAGCAAAGGGAAAAAAGGAGAAAAAGAAAGAGTCAGGAAGAAAGGAGTAAAAAAGAAAAAAGCACTGGTGCACTCTTAGCTTTTATAATGGCTACTTTGGAGATAGTTTTGGCCGAAAAAAACTGTTTTGGGGAAGAGGTCTATTTGGCGGTAAAAAACGTCTTCAAAAATCCGGCTAGAGCTCTGTTATATCAAATCATTGTTTCACAAAGCCGTCCAAAATACCCATGGCGAAAAAAGTGAAGCTATTGCGTTGCCAGCCTTATCTTTAAATTTAACGAACTTTATCAGATTTTGAATTGAATGTAAATTGTACAAAAAATGGAATTACCCACGAAGCATTTAAAAGCACTTAAATATGTCCGTGCGTTCTAGAGGAATTGGAATTTGGAAGTGTTGGTTTTTTAGGAGAGGGAGAAACCGGAGTACCCGAAGAAAAAACCCACAAAACTAAAAAAAAACTCAACCGACATAAACAATGGCGTCGTTTTGGGATTTGAACCCGGTCTATGGGTGCGCAACCCTCGCTCCCCTGATATGACAAATACATAGAATCTCTGCCAAGAACACCCTAGGAAATCTCTAATTATAGGAATAACCCATCCACCTGTTCGGTACTGTGACAAGTGTTCGTCAAATCTAAGCAGCACAGAGACAAGATGGAGAACGCAACCATGACCCAAGATAGCTCTGATTTTTTTCTCCTGTTTAAAGAAGTTTCATGGATGATTGTCTTCATCTGTGAAGCAGTGCTAATTCTTACAGAAAATGTCATGACCATTTTAATCTTCTGGAGCATGCGCAAGAGACTTAAGCGAACAAGTTACCTACTCATCAATCTTGCCGTAGCGGACTTTTTTGTGGGGATCGGGCTTTCTATGTTTATTGGCACTGATATTGCAAGGACTTTAAAGAGAAATATTCCCGACAGTTTGGAGATAACCCTGATTATAATAGACCTCAGCGCAACACTGTCTTCCGTAACGTCGTTGGCCTTAATTTCTTTGGTAAGAATGTTCGCTATTTTGTGGCCTTTCCGCCATAGGCTTTTAAAGACACGATACTTCTATGTCTCCATTGGTGTGGTTTGGCTTATTTCAAGTTCAAATGGTGTCTCAACGCTTTCTTCTCGCACAGGCTACAACATTTTCACCGCTGCGTCATTCATCATTGCAGTCATGGTCATTTCTGCAGCCTATTCTGCCATTTGGATGCAGTCAACGCTACGCAATCGGATGCCGTCGAGCCGCGAGAAATCAAGCAACATGAGACAAAACAAAAGGCTTGCCAACACTCTTTTCGTTGTAACCGCCTTGTCACTGATGACTTGTTTACCATATGGCATCACCATTGCTTTCAACGACGACTTTCTCGAGAACTTGTATTCTTTCAGAGTTCAATTCACTTTAGTGGTGATGTATGCCAATTCGTTTCTGAATCCAATTGTGTATAGCTTCAGAATGCCAGCCTTTAAAGCTTCTCTGAAAAAAATATTTTGTCACTGTACTTGTCCAGGCTCACGGAATAAGTTTGCAATCGAGAAAAGTTACCAATCGTCCAGCAATGCAGCCAGTTTGAAATCTATTAAGACTACAGTCGAAATTCTTTAGAATAGTACTGGCATTGTTGCATTGTTTCTTAAGCAGTTTATTTTAAAGGTCTAGCTTGAAGGTTAGTGTTCTCAACAACAACAAAACTTTACTAGCAATTACATATCTTACACTGTCCGTAGCAAGTAAAGCTAATATTTGAGGTGCGTAGTTCATGCGCATAAACTAGTTACGATATTCAGGCTCACTCGGCAAGTTTAAAGTAGTGGGTTTAATAAGGGCATAAAAACTTAACACAATATGTAACTAAAAACGTCATAAAAGCGAATTGTAATCAGTAGTTTAAAGTTCGCACATATGAAGGTTTTCAATTTTAAGTAAACGAACAAAAACGAAAATCAGAGGAAAAAGACGTAATATAGAAAAATAGCTAACTGTTAGTTAAGAGTGAGGAACCGATTAAAAAAAGTAAAATTTATGATTCATATTTTTTGGCTGATTTTACTTTTTCCATCAGCGTGCATGAGCGCATCAAGGTAGTCATCTTTTTTGTTTTTCAAAATATAGAAAGGTATTTTGCTATTCTTTGGAAGATGTTGGATGACGAAGTATCTCATTCCACATCTTTGCCCCTAAGTGAGAGGAAGACAGCCTATACAATACTAGTTCGGATCTATTGACATAGAAATTTCCGTGACGTACAAGTGCTTGTTTTGCAGCTTTTTGCTTCTGCAATGCCAAAATAAACGAAACCGTGTCCTTCGTTTGCATGTGATGCCATCATGCATGCTGCAAAATAAAGTAAAAGCGATCCTGCTGCGTCTGGAAGAAGACTGATTATCCAATCACCGTTTTTTGAAAACAAAACATTTTGCAAACGGGCCAATGAGATTCTTAGATTTGAGGGCTGTTTCCTGATAGGTCAGGTAAGTTTAAACTGTTTTAAAGTTTTCAACGGTTCTTTGTTGATACTTGAATTTTATCGGTTGGCATGCAGAAAACTTGAGAATCTTTTGTTTCCAAAAAACGCTGTGATTGGATAATCTTCTTTCGAGTGCCCCGCTTCAAGTAGCGCACTGTTAGTTTCATCAGATATATAACCTCCTGAGAGATAATACATCGGCTATGCCAACTTTCTGCAATATATAGGCAGGGCTTCTGATATAGGTTTGCTCTGTAGTAAAGCTCATTAGAATTTCAAAACGTTTGCACTACGCGACCTCTGTAAAATGTTGATTTACAGCCACCACTCAGAGTAGCCTTATATTCAATGGTATAACAACAACAAAAGGCCACTTCCGCGGAGTTCCAAAACCCTCACTTTCAAAATGAGGCCGAGTGTACAACCTTTCTAGTGAAAATGAGTTTTATTTGCATGAGAATGAAAAATCATCTCCATATCAAAGGCTGAGCACTTAACCTCGTTTTGATACAGAAGTCCGTGGGAACCAGAAATGGCCTATTACAGTAAAAACCCCGCACGTAAGAACCTAGTGGTTTAAGAACCTGCTGGCAGAAATTTGCCTCTTTAAAACCCCAAAATAGGAACCTGGTTAGCTTAGCAAGATCAAGCAGATTCTTATATGTAGGATACAGTTAAATTATGATAAACATTTTAACCTGGGATCGGAGTTCGACTTTGAAATTGCTAATTTATATTACAAGAAAATACTGTACCAAACTGTAACATAAAGTAAGTAAAACTAGTTCTGTAAGTTCGACAAAAAAGCGGGTTTATATAAATTACAAACTGTAATAATTGTATGCCTTCATGACGAACTTTGCATAATGAAGGTTTGAAATGTACAGTTGTGAATAAATACTAACAGTAACTGGATATTCAAGGACCGAATTTTAAGTTTATTTATTTATGTTTTGTAGTCAACAACTATATCTCCTTCATAGCTTAAATTGCGATCGAATAACTACCTGAAAATAAAAGAACCTTTAACTATCTAGAAAAATCTCTTTCCTCTGCGCGTATTTTGGAATAAGAATTCTCCCTTGCAGGACTTGATTTGGTATTCATTGCAGCGCAATATCAAGAAATCTAATCGAAATAAAATATTCCGATGCATGTGGCGATTGAATAGTACAAAAATCACGGTACAAGAGATTTGTAACAAAACTTTTGCGTATACCTTCGGCCTAGGCCAAAAGTCGAAATTTAAATGCCGGACGAACCAGACTATACTAAGTTAAGATCGACTGTTGGGTCACATGTCGAACTTAGGACGCGTGGAACCAATCAACTGCATCAGTTAAAAAGGCAATTTTAAAAAATTTTCTCCCGAACGAGGCTAAATATACATTATCATACAGGGCAGGTTGCTCGAAGCCTGGTTAGTTTAACCGTTGGTTAAGAGGTATCAAAATGTATAGGTTTCCATGGTATTTAACGCTGGTTAGCACTAACCATGCTTCGAGCAACCCGGGCCTCAGATATTTAATTTATTCAGGTTAGTTCGTCGCATGTGAAGATCGACGCTTGTCCCGGAGACGATCTTCAGACGGATGGAACTTGTGGGATGATCCAAACTCATTCAGACGAACTTAACTGAGCCAGATGTCGAACTTTTCATGAACTCAACTAAGCAAGTTTGGTTCGTCTCATGAAAAGTCCAACGTTTGGCCTATAGGCCTAGACCTTATTCCTAAATACTATCGATCGGACGCTATGAGCCCTAAAAATCTCTCGTAAATGGCCACCTCCTGTTAGTGACCGCGAGCACTTTTCGTTGTATGTACTTTGCTGCTCACAGTATACGAAGTACATTCAGTGACAATATGGAACTACACATAGTAAGTTAGAGATTCTAGTGCATGTGATAATTGAAATTATCTTTCATGTGGTAAACGAGTCTCGGAAGAGACCCGCTTGTGGTTCTATTGTTAGCGACCGACTCCCGTAAGCGACCGCTAAGTCTTCGATTATTTTTGTAAGAATCAATAATGGTAATAGGACTGAGTGGAGTCCAATTCGGTCTGTAATCATAACTAGAACAAAATTGTTAAATCTGATTGGCTATCATCTGCCCTGATTTCAGCCTTAATTGAACAGTTTGATAGGACAGTAAGCGTCATGCTTAAATGGCTTTTTTTTCACTGCTAGCAAAACAAAATTTCCAATTTCTTGTGTTTTGATTTAGAAAAATGCCTGTTATATCACAAATTTTGTTAAAGTTATGATTAGTTGGTAACAGAACTTCGTGTCGTCCAATTCGGTCTGTAATCATACTCGTGATTAAACAAATCGGACTCCCGCTACGCGGTCGTCAGATTTTGTTAATCACTCGTACCATTACTAATCATACGAGTGATTAACAAAATTGGACGACCCATTAGCCTGGTAGCGGGAGACCGATTTGTTTAATCACGAGTATGATTATTTACCATATTCGACAACACGAGGTTCTGTTACCAATTAATCATTACTATAACAAAATTTGTGATAGTTTAGGTTTTTTGAAATTAAAACACAAGAAATTCAAAATTCCGAGAGTTTTGTTAGCGTGCGATGGCGCGTAGTGTCCAATTACTTAGGCATGACACGTACTGTCCTATTACACTGTCCTATTAGTGCTGAAATCAGGACAGTTGATAGCCAATCAGATTTGAGAATTTAGCTATAGTTATGATTAAGGACATTAAGGGACCCGGGGTGTTTTCTTGATTACAAAAGAATATCACTAACTAAATTGAAAGTTTTAATTAGGTTTTTTGGTTCTTCAAAAAGAGACCCTTCATGAATACTATTTCAGCAGGAGCACGCCATAAACCTCAGCTAAGTCCATATGAGAATATTTGCTGGAAACGTAGGATTTGCCAAGCATTTTAAATTAATATCAACACTGAAAAATTCTAATTTGAGGTTTTTAATCACTTATTCTGATTCCGTAAACGTGGACTTTTTCCTTTCCGTGAAATGCCAAGAAAGAATGGTCGAATTTTGCAGAGAAGACAGTTTCGCTTTTATTAATTGTTTCCTGTCTAACCAAGGAAATTGAAAAAGAAAACCATTTTCTGGTAAAAATTAGTTTCAAATGGAACAAAAACATCTTTTGTTTAAAGGGATATAAATATTTTATTGAGATTACTGAGACCTTATCGGGAAATATTGTTAATAAGTTGCCGATCTAAATGATCTTGTTTTCCGTGAGCAGATATACCAGAAAAAGCCTAGAATTCAATGTTATTGCCATCAATTCCGTGGTAAAATTAAAGAGCAATTTACGTGAGAAGCAATCAAATTTGTAAGTGATGGCGTGCCTTTAAGTGTTCTGCCATGCGTTGTATTCGATACAATACTTTTATTGTTTCTGTGTAGTTTTATTATAGTAAGACAATATAAGATGATCGAAATATGAGTCATTTCATATATTTCCATTTAATACCGAGACAGAAGTAGATTGCATTTTGAAGGGAGTATCAATATTTAATTAGCATCTTTAGAAAGATATACATTTCTTTCAAGTTAGCTTAAAGTTCAGATGTTCTTCTAGTTAAACACAGGCCAGCCGATGCCAAACGAACCTGTCACTCTGAGTGCTTATCTTTCTTTGAAATACCGAATGTCAAGATACAGGTCGGATTAAAACGTTAAGAGGAGATAGTAAGTGGCTTTACGCCACTCCAAATAATGTGCCGAACCTAACCGATAAATAAGGTACGTCATCAGAGGACCGGTGTCAGCAGTTTCTATACCGGTTTTATACGGCGAGCGAAGATGCCGCAACAAGATGATAACTGCTTGTTTCGACACTTAATGTATGAAAGTGATAGAATTTTTAGATTCTAAAGAATCTTTCCATTCGCAGTCTCTCCTCTCGGGTCACTCCAAAGCACTCCGTAGTCAAACTTTGTATCGCTGAGTAGGGTCTACAAGTCGACTAAACCGGGCCTAGTAAAAACCTATTTACTAGGCGTCTGGCCGGATTGTGAATTGGTTGAGACGTATACATAACAAAGCCAACATAACCCTTTAAATTGGTAATTTCACTGAATAAACTGTATGTCACAAAATGTCAACTACTTGCTTTAAAGGAGTCTGCACAGCGAAGCAGGCCTGTAATCATTATCTGATTCTAAGTCAACTCATAAGACTTATTCTAAATGTCAGTCATGTATCGACATTTTTTAAAATTTCCTTAAATAGGCCTAGAAAGATGAACAACACAAGCCTCGATTATGGTTTACCTTTTTGGTTGTTTAAAGATGTTCATTGGATGGTTGTCTATATTTGTGAAGCTCTTCTTATCCTCACTGGAAACTCCTTAACGATTTACATCTTTTTTCGCATCCGGAAGCGGTTGAAGCGTACAAGTTATTTGCTCATCAATCTTGCAGTTGCCGATGCTTTTGTGGGGATGGTACTCACTCTTTTCATAAGTGTAGATGTAACAATTATGTTTGAAAAAGACGTCAGCTTAACTTTTGGTGAAGCAGTCGTAGCACTCGATATCAGCGCAACAGTTGCTTCACTGTCGTCGTTGGTCTTAATTTCTTTGGAAAGAATGCTCGCTATTTTATGGCCACTTCGTCATAGGCTTATAAAAACACGATACTTCTATGTTTCTATTGGCTTTGTTTGGTTTCTTTCCGCCGCAAATGTACTTTCAAATCTACGCCTCTACAATGATATCACGTATGACGATTCTTACAGCGTCTTTACATCAGTAACATTCGTAACGTCTCTTGTAGTCATTACAGTTTCCTATCTTGCCATTTGGATTTCAGTACGGCGCAATGCAATACCAAGCAACGATCGTAGATCAATGAGACAAAGCAGCAAGCTGGCCAAGACACTTTTCATAGTAACCGCCTTGTCAATTATGACTTCCTTGCCATACGGTATTATCGTCACTTTGAAAGAATTTTCTGAGGATTTCTTTTCTTTTAGAGTGCAAATTATTATGGTGGTACAATATGCGAATTCACTTCTGAATCCAGTCATCTACTGCTTCAGGATGCCCGAGTTTAAAGCTTCCCTGAAAAAGCTATTTTGTTGTCACTGCTCGGGTGGGAGCAGTTTCCATACGAATTCTACACCGTTTAATAAGAATTCTCTATCGATTAAAAATCATTCTTTATCTCCTACCAGTGGAATAACACTGAGGTCCGTGGAGTTCACGGAGGCTAATAATCGTAACTAGGTTTACATTTTCAGTTCCAAGCTTCTGAGGAGAACCTGTCGGCTCCAAGACCATTTGCTTTTGGTTGAACTTAAAATAACTGCTTATGAAACTAGGGATCGATAGTCTATTTCCTTCTTTTTCTAAAAAAAAATTCAGTAAGGGTGTTTGATCCTTATCTTTCAGACATCAATTTTCTTCATGTTATTCTTGCCTTTCTGTTTGTTATTTCTTCATCAGCCGCATGATGAATACCGTGAGGCCTCAGTGTGGTTCTACCTATTCATCGTGGCGTCATTGTTTATCTTTTGTCTAACAGCCGCCTAGTTAGCTCACATGAATAAACTCTCGTCTGCAGAGCAGGAGGTCGCGGGTTCAAACGCCCGGACCGGAACAATACACAGGGTATCAAGATAACTGAGGAGAATGTGCTGCCTTTGTTATAACATCTGTAAATAGTTTAGTCCTCTCGGGCAAGGAAGAAAAACCGTTGATCCCCCTCACACACTCCTTCACTGTTCTGATTGATTCCTGTGGGACGTTAAAAAAACTGGCACTGCTGTTCGTAGAAAGCAGGGGACGTAGACCTCTGTGGTGTGGTCAACCTGGATGTGAGCCTGTGTATGTATTGCTGTAGCAGCTCCAAATCAGCTTTAAAGCTGCTATGATGATGATGATAATGATGATGATGATAATAGTTTTCCCATAGAAGAGGACGCGGTATATGAAAATTAAAACTGCAAAGCAGGTTAAGCTAAGGGAGTGATCTATGCAGTTTTTAACTCTTCTGAAGCGGTATTTAAGGACAATAACCAACCACTCAACTGTGCAATGAACGTTGCTGGGTAGCAAATACGCTGGAAGCGATAAAACAACAACAACAATAACCTTTATTACATGACTATAGATACTTACAGTATTGCAAAAAGTAATGATATTAACAACAGATAATCAAGTGACATTCTTACATGACAGTACACTGAGACGCAAATTTTTCAATAATGAAATACAATTCGCAAACCGGACTTAAAATTTCAGAGAGAGCTTTTTCTACTGTGATATTTAAATGAAAATCCCTTTCTACCGACCCAGCTGCAAAAATGGGTCTCCGAGGATGGTGAAGATTCAGAGCTACTACTTTCACAAACGGTGGTTTCGTTTGGCCCGTCCAGCGCAGCATTCATTTGTTCCTTACATCCTTTGTATTATTCTTAGAGCAAATTAGAAGAATTAGTCAGCCTAATTTAACAATCATTTACCATGCTTACTTTGATCTTTTTATTGTTTTCCATTAATCAACTTGATTGATATTTATGAAAAATTGTCGATGTAATACGGTACATATCCTAAGTAAAGTTAATTATGAAAAGTTATGAGCATGTGAAATAGGCCATTTCCGAGTTCCAAAATCTCCTACCTTTGAAACGCGACTAAGTGCAAACCCTTTCTTGTAAAAATGAGTTTTATTGGCATGAAAAAAAAAAATCATTTTCATACCAACTTAGCCTCGCTTTGAAAGATAGGCTTGGAGCCAATCGGAAATGGCCTTTTGCCAATATGAATTCGCTAACAATTCGCTTAAACATATCGCTGTGTAGATATCCCAGGATGAAACAAGCAGGTTTTAGTAATAATTGATCTAATAAAAGCTTTTTTCTGAAGAAGAAAACGAAATATTCAGTTAGCAAAAAGAAACGTGGTTATATTTGATAATTAGTATAGGATAAAGAATTTAACAGACCAAGAACATCCTCCTAGGTCTGAATTTCTTTCTTTTTTTGGTTCACATCATACTTAGCCTGTTCCAGGCTCTCAGATAGTGGGGCAAGACGCGAAAGAAAAAGGCACGCGAAAAGTTGGCGGGGTGGGAAAAAGGGAAAGGAAAGGAAAGAGAGCCTGTATTAAATCATTTCTTTTACAACCCTCTTCCGCCCACATTTGGCACGTTTGAAATAATTAGATTTCGGCTGTCAAACTGTTGAAATGTCAATGAGTTGGAATCTCTCTCAAATTTCTCGCGAGATTATATCGCGCTGTGCTAATCCCTTATGCGAGTGTGAGCAATATGGAGTGTAAAAAGCGGGTTGGTAGGCAACACACGACTTTTATTTCGTGCCAAAATGCTGCTTGTTAGCCTGCGAACGGCAGACGTTTCTCCTCGCTCATCGCCGCTGAGGGACGTTTCGCGAAACGTCCCTCAGGGGCGATGAGCGAGGAGAAACGCCTGCCGGCGTTCGCAGGCTAGCTGCTTGTTCCAGTGAATACATGTATTTTCTCTTACGGGTGGATTATGCTCTGGAGGGGTCTACATTTTGACTGAGCAAACTATGTGATTTTTGCCGCCTGTTTCATGCTAGCCTGTTCACAGACCCTATATTTTCTCTTCAAAGTCCGTCGAGCGCGGGTGATAAAATATAAACCGCAGGGGATTTATGATGTTTTTGAAAAGAACGAAAAGAAAAATAAAACAACGTCTGTTTACAGGCTAGTTTCATGCTGAGAGGTCGTTACAAGCATATTGATTTTCTGAGGGTATTGTTTCTGGTCGGCATGATTGATGATTTGCCCTTCATTGCGGCTAAATAAGGGTTTTAGGTTGTTTAATTTTCTCTAAGTCCCTCCTTGATCTGAATGTGATGGTCTCCTACAATGAGTTTTGTCACGCTGGGCCCAGCTCGTTTAGTGTTTTTGCAAGATGTTAAATTCTCACGGATGGTGATTCACAAATCCAAATTTCGAAGAATTGCAGCTTAAACTGAAGCTACTTTAAACATGGAGAACTACGCTGTGAGTCAGTCAAGATTTTTAAACTCCAGCTTGTTCTTCTAAAGAGATCTAAAGATAATGTAAGTCTGGACTGGAGCGCGTAGATAACTCCTTTTTGCGACTGTTCTGTTATTGCCACTTCGTTATCAGGCAAGACCATTGTTTTCACCCTAAATGCGCTGGTTTTTCTTTCATCCGGCCCGATATTAAATAGATAATGAGTCCAAGAATGTCACCAACGTATCAATACTTAGAAGGAGCTCTTACAGAGTTTCAAAACTGGCAGAGTTCATCACGTTAAAGTTCCAATGTTTTATATTAGGAAATTTAAAAGAAATTTCAGGATATAAATCATATAAAGAGTCCAAACGCGGTGAAGGCAAGGGGATTGAAATATTTGTAGCAAGGGAATACGGACGCTTTCAAAACTCTTTCTTGTGTTATACACGTAATTAATTTTCACCGCGCACTTTTAATTCACAAAATGCCCGTGGCGAGACAAATGAAACTGCTATTTTGCCAAGTTTATGTCATACCCTGAAATTAAAATCCATCTAATTGTGCAAATTGCTGTCAATCCTTTTCTAGTTTGTTTACTATCGCTGCTTAGTGTTTGTGATTCGCCCAGGGAAAGTTATGATGGTACACCTTGTAGTAAGATCCGTCAAATTGGCTTCCTTTTTCAAAGAACTGAACTCCTTTCATTGAGGGGGCAGCGTGACCGAGCGGTAAGCTTGCCTCAACCCGGCATCGCAGTCCAGTCCTGCCCTTACCACTCGCCGAAGCTGCTCCTTGCCGTCCTAAGTCCCCTCCAGGTTAGACTAAAGAAATTGTGGTGCTACAGGCATCTGTAGGTGAGTAAAACAGACAAATGTAGTTTTATGAACTGATTGCACATTTTACTGTACAGGTATAACTTTATGACTGATATCAAACCAATTTTTATGCCTGTCAATAGCTAACTACTTGCGCTCTGCCCTCTTCCAGACGGGATTTCTTCTTAAAAACGAGTTTAAATTTTGAGTGAACTCGCCGAAAACTACTGAAACAAAAAACTGCACTAGTTTTACATGTTTTGCATTCTCCATTTCCCGTAATACAGCCGCGTGCAAGTCTTGCTTTAAGGATACAGGGGCACCCAACGAGAATATAGTTCAAAACCACTTAAACATAGTATTGTTGAATGTATTTTAGTATTTGAACGGTAGATATAGGCATATTTTTCATCTGTTCGTCTAGCGATCCGAAAATTAAGGGATCAAAACTTACCTTTTTGAAAATTTCAGCCAGAAAAAAGGCTCCCGAAAAATTCTAGGTGACCTTTTCACGGAAAAAATCCGTTAAAAATGAGCAATTATACCATTTTTGGGGGGTTCGAAAATCCTAGGAGAGGCAGGCAAGCAAGAAATTTAACAAAAACTGTTCCGAAAATTCTAGATCTCAAATCGTCTTCCGAACAGATATTTTCCAAAAATTGTCGTTGGGTGCCCCTGAGGATAGAAACAACGATAAAATTGTGTTATGTCCAAACACCATTGCTTTCGGACAGATATTTTAGAAACTTTTATTAATGACCTAGTATTCTCAAATCGCCCAAGCCCCTGTCTTAAGTCGAGGCTAAGTGCGAGGTTATTTATATAATTATTCATAAAAAAATGATTTTTTTTCTCGTGCAAATAAAACACATTTCCACAAGAAAGGTTTTGCACTTAGCCGCGTTTTGATACTGATTTCGAGACCTAATAAATCTTAAATTTGTCATGATGTGAAGTTATATTGATCTAACTAATCTATGTATTCTTTAGCCTTAGAAAGATGACGAATGCAAGTCAACATGATTCCGAACATTTGTTGTTTAAAGATATTCCATGGATGCTTGTATACATCTCTGAGGCATTTCTAATTCTCGTTGGAAACCTCTTTACAATTTATATTTTCTGGAGCATTCGAAAACAACTGAAGCGAGCAAGCTATCTGCTCATCAATCTTGCAGTTGCTGATTTTTTTGTTGGAATGGGAGTTGTTCTTTATATTGGAGCAGATATTGCAGTTCTCTTAGGAAAACAAATTAGTTTGATGTTAGTTGACGTCATAATAACAGTTGACGTCACTGCAACAGTTGCCTCGCTGTCATCGTTGGTCCTAATTTCTTTGGAAAGAATGGTGGCGATGCTGTGGCCATTCCGTCATAGGCTTTTGAAAACACGATACTTTTACTTCTCCATTGGTTTTGTTTGGCTTCGTTCGCTCACAAATGTTATTTCACTAAACTTGCGTGTAGATTCTGTTTCCTCAAATGGCTATGCCGACAGCATTTATACATCCGTTACGTTCATAGTCTCGGTTTTGGTCATCACCGTTGCCTATCTTGCTATTTGGATTTCAATGCAACGCAGTAAAATACCAAGCAATGATTGTAAGTCCAAAGAGAAAAATAGAACGCTTGCAAAGACCCTTTTCATAGTAACCGCTTTGTCAATTATTACCTGCCTGCCATATGGTATCATCATTGTTTTTGCCAACTTTTCTGAGGATTGCAGGTTTTCCTTTTGGGTTCATATAATCTTCGTCGCACAATTTGCGAATTCTTTTTTGAATCCGTTTGTCTACTGCTTTAGAATGCCTGAATTCAAAGCGTCCCTGAAAAAGCTTTGTCAGTGCTCACGGAGAAGATTTTTGTTTGATAATAATGCTGTAAGGTCTGCCGGTGGAATAACACTGAGGTCCATGTCACCCGTAAAGACTCCTTAATGAAGGAGAAAGAGAGCCGAGCCTTGTGCTGAGACTGGAGAAACGCTTCAAAAATACTTGAAGGTCTTTCCAAAGGAGGATTATTCTGGTATCCCATGATGCAGCGCGGATCAACTATCCTCTCTGAAGTCCTAACCTGAGAAAACAGCTGGCATACTGGTTTATCACTAGTTTATCCTCGCAATGAGGGGGAGGGGGGGAAGGTTGCAAAATGAAATTCGAAATTTTTCCATCGATTGCTCAGTATCTAGTACGAATAGCTTAAGACTGATCGGAGGAAAGGCCAGGGAAATATTCCGATTACATGTTACCGACCGAACTGACACATAGTAAAAGCGTAATTGTCTTGTACATAAAATGTGGATTATTTCTATAAAGACAAACGAGACTCACATTATGAGAGTTTTAAGTGAACATTAAACCAGATTTGTATTGTGTATCCGCGCTTCTTTTCTCTGGAACATGCAGCTCAGTAGCTTGCCAATATGCCTGTAATTGTTCACCACTTTTTCCATTTTTAGTTTGCGATTTTCAAGTCACCCATTAGGCAGATTTAGCCACGGTAATGCAGCGCAGATCTAAAAACCGACTTGACCAATGGCAGAACGGCAAATTTAGCACCGAAAGATTTCCGCGTACTTTAGTGTTCTTATTAGATATACTGCGTTGTCTTTGCTAAATCCGCCCATTGCAATTAGTTGAACATTATCGCTCTCCCCGACATACAGCTGAGCGAAAAGAGAAAAAATCAAATAGAGTTCTTCAACATTCTAGACTTTTCTTTTCCAGAAAATGCGAAAACTAGTTTTTTGTAATTTTGACTGGCTTGGTTCATCTTATCATGGACTCAACCTGTCATTATTGCGGAAGTTACGCAATCAACATAAGAAATTTACACACCTGCCGGATTAAAGTGAAATATATAAATAGACATTTTTTACAATTAAATGATATTTTTCATCTATTAAAATATCTTATTGCCCGTGATGTCATTTCCAGTTTCTTTGAAGCCGGTAGTTTATATCACATGTACAAAGATCTGAGACCAGAGTCAAAGCCAAAACCAGTGAATGAGAAGCTCTAGTACGGTAAGTTACTTTGCGGAATTTATTGAGATCTGAGTCCGAAAATAGTCCAGAAAATTGAAAACCATATTTTTCAACTTGGACGATTTGGCAGGACGCAAAAACATAAACCTTATTTCTGTATCTTGAATTGTCAATGCAAATGTACGTGTTTTCATGAGCTGATAATTATAAACTTTATCGTTTCTGGACCACAACTTTAGAGTGCTATAATGCTGCCTATCTTCGTTTTTTTTCAGACGACACTTTTTGGTCGAAACCGTGGATTAGTGTATAGAAAGTACTTTTCTTAAAAAAGGAAACAACAAAATGTGTCATAATGTGACAATTTAGGACAATTGTCGTCTGCTACAGACAAACATTTTAGAGGAATATAATCTTTGCGAAAAAAGTTGAGGACGGCTAACAATGCTACGGAATAATCTGAGTTCCGATCAACTGCCCATATCACGCAGGTCTCATTTACAAAACGGCAAGAACGCACTAGGAAAAAGGGATTAAGTCTTTGGTTATCTTTTGGTTGAGTAATCATTATGAATGCCAAAATTTCTTGATCGCATATGGGTGTATCACAACAAACCACTATCAACTGGCAATAATTTTTTGATATTCTATTGATCTTACCGAACTTTGACTCAGCTCAAGATAAATTAGAAGTCTAAGCTGCCGCTGCATTCATGTTACATTTCGGACTGAAGTATATTTCACCGTCTATGAACTGTTGTCGTAATAATGAAACAGTATTAGTTTCCTTCATTTAAGAGCTAAAATTGTGAAAAAAATGACTGCATTTGAGGATTTGGTCGTTGGCGGTAATAACAGGGTGGTTGGATTTATAGCTCTTTGCGAGAGAAAAGATAATAAGTGGAATTTTTGGCTAGGACCAGAAACTTCGTCTTAACAACGAATTAATAGGAGGCTGCATCATGGAGTGGTCATTTGGCTGGTTCCACTGTATTAAGCAGTTTGTCTGCCTTAAACTGGGTTTTAACCATTTCAATTTCTGTCATTTCTAAAGCAAAACATCCCTACTCTAACAAATTCTCAGGTTTAATTGTGATATTTCCTTGTTTAGGATTGCCTGTTCGAACCCGCTCTTGTAGAGATTTTAGGCTCTGTCTAGAGACCACAGACCACAATGGAAAGCACTTTATATCTGCAGAACTCTTCTTCAACCAATTCAACTCCCACAGTTTTACCACAAGGCCAAACTCCTGAAGTTCTTGATCATCCACATGTGGTTATTATATGTACAATACTGGGCGTGGCTAGCCTTGTGGGAACTCTCGGCAACGCCTTAGTTTTATGGTCCATAATCAAGTTTGAGAACTTAAGAACCATAGCGGACTTATTCATTTTCAGCCTATCACTATCAGATATCCTTGTCACAACAACGTATCAACCATTGAAAGCATATCGGGCTGCGCAGTCACAAGAGGCTAATTTATCCTTGGTATCTTTCTCAAGGTTCCTTGGGTATTTATCGCTCACTGCATCAATTACAAACATGTTTGGGGTGACTGTGGAGCGTCTTATTTCCATTCGCTTTCCACTGAAATATGACCAGATTGTAACAAGGAGACGGGCTATTATCACTGTTATCTGCATTTGGGTATTTTCAGTTACTAATGGAATAATTTATACCAGGGGATATATGTCAGGGTTTTATCTTGCAATGTACTTCATATTAACCATCGCCGGGATAGGAATGATCTACGCTTACATATTTTACATAGCCAAAAGACTGGAGGATGTAGTGATACAAGCGCAAAACCGCTTTGTTGGTGGCAGTGAACGTAAAGCGGCCAAAACTATCATCATTCTTCTTGGAGTGGCAATTGCATGTTGGGTTCCGTTTTTAATCAGTTTGAAACTTTTATCGAAAAATGATGTGAGATCCAAGTGGATCTTCTACTTAGCACAAGCCTTGGCAACATGCAATTCATCAATTAACCCTTACATATACTGCGTAAGAAGTAGCAGGTATCGCAAACCGTTTGTTAAATTGCTTGGGTTGCGTAAGGTTGATATCGCGCGAGAAACTTGGACACCTGCTTATCTCCCAAATACTGATATAAATGAGTTTCAGTTAAACGGCTCAATAAAAGGAGGGGTTTTCACTATTTCAAAGTAACAAACGGCGAAAAATTATTTGTGATGCTGTGAATGAAGTTTGGTTAGCATTTCTTTTATTCACGCAGGCTATCTACAATCGGCCACAAAATTAGTTTAGACACTTGCCCCAAAGGTTCTTTCCCGGGGAAGGTACTCCTCTATGTAAGATATAGAGGTATGTGCCGCCCCAAAGGTTATGGTTTTTGCGCCGTTTCGATCTGGAAAACGGGTATAGTCTTTGTACATTTTGGTCTGGAATCGGGTATGGTTGTCGAGGGAACTACGAGAGTTTATGAACGTATTTTGTCGTTTCAATTTCAAATGACTAAGAAAGAATGATAGTATGCAAATTCAAAATGGATTTTAAGAAATCGTTTATTTGGCGTCTTATCTAAGTAATTTAAGGTCTGAAAATGAATGTGGGTCGCCAGGTCTGGAAACTGGAGTGGAAATAACATTGTTTGGTCTGAAATAGGGTCAAGCATTCCTTTTAATGTATGAACAACACTTAAGGTTGGTTTCCACTGACTCGTTTTTGGCTACGCACGTTAACACAGATAAATCTATTTTATTTGCGAAAGTAAATTTTACGCACGCACGCACGCGAGTAAAAATTACGCGACACTGGAAATCAGAACCCTTAACGCTGACCACTGTGTTGTAACTACTTATAAAGGTGAACACAGGTAAAAGTTTAGGTTTGGAGCAATTATTTAAGGGTACATGTCTGGTCTCTAAGAAAACAACACCAACAAAAACAAGTTTCATTTGCATGACTAATGCAACAGAGTAATGTTACAATATCGCAAAAACTATATATAGCTAATTCTGATTTGTTAATTAATCAAGAAAATAAGAGCGTCGTCACTCACGTGACCAGCATCTATGCAAATTTAATGCAACAAAAGAAATATTTTGCATAAGAAAAAGTCGACTCCCAGAGGACTGCTTTGGAACACCAATATGGCCGCCTCGACGCCATGTGAAAACAGGCTCTATTCTCACAGTAGGAGTATTTATTTCGGAGAGGAGGTTACCTCTCAGTTCGAATGAGAAAATTAAAAATTGATTGCTTATAAAAAGACAGTTTAAACCTGATAATACTCAAGTTCAGTCTCAGTTTTCTATCGTATGAGGGATTGTAGCTATTTGCGGGGAACAAAGATTACCGCAATAGTGCATCGTTCGTCGTGGTAGAGGAAACGACAGCAATATTCAACAGCGAGCTGATCGGCCTCAGGGCGAAGAAAACGAAAGAGAATGAAAATTGAAAATAAAACTGAAAATAATATTTTGTATTATTTGTGTCAGATATTTCGGTTTCAAATACAAACAGCCGCTGTGTGCTGAAACAAAATAGAGTTTTTCGTCAGGTAGGATTTAACCTCGTCCCAGGGCGCTTTTCCTTGGCTTTGGAGGTGGGGCGGGAAAAGCCACGGAAAAGCATCCTGGGGACGAGGTTGATAGGATTGTCAATTACAATATAAGAATTTTGAAACTAGAGTGAGAAATATGCTTGGTAAATGAACAGACAATAGACGCAAACAGACGCTACTAAAGCAAAAATATAAATACATGAAACTTTAATGAGAAGAAAAGAGGTAATAAAAATGAAAATAGTATGTAATTAAAATGACAGGCAATAGGGTACAGTGTATATTCTGAACTTTGCAAACAATAAAATAATACATATTATAGATGACAATAGAAAAACTGCATAATAGCCCCAAAAATAAAGTAAATTAAAATGAAATGTTGATTGATTTCATTGCGTTTGTTGATTCCATAACGCTCCAGTGCCCCAGCCTTGTCGAAGGTCGGCTTCCCGAATGAAATGACTTATGTAGGTAGGGCGCACTGGTTACTCGGCCATTGTACTCCAAGTCAAGCGTCTTCGCGTGAGGTATCTATGGCCCCATGTCAGAGGTAATCTAAGACTGTCGTGGATTCTATATTCACGCCGTGGTGTCCGGACTCCAGGCACTGGATGCCACTTTTATTGTCAGTGAAACTTGGATTCCGGTTTCCAATGGTGATTCGATTCTACAAACAAAAATTTCCCGGATTGCAGAAATCGGAATACCTTACATGGAGCAATATCTAGTAGAAGCGAATGTAACAATAGAGACCTCATAGATTCTAAACCGAGGTCGAGTACGAGTACGAGATTTTCTAAGTAACGCGAGCGCCTAAAACCGCGTCATTTTGGCGGGAAAACGTGATAGTCGTCGTCGTTCTACTACGAGTTTTAGCGAGGATGGCGGGAACAAGTTATCAAATGTTAGAAGGTGTTTTCATTTTGGGATCAGGAGAGGGCGTATCCTCCATCAATGAAGATAACACTTCTAATATTTTATGGTGAAAAATTAGTACAATGAAGCTTTCCGGGGTAACTGTTTTTTGAAAATACAGTACGCGAAAAAACTTTCAGTCAAATCTCATCTTCGTAGTAGCTTTCGTCCCCGAATCTTACCAATTAAAGGTCTCTTGTAACGACGTGACGAACAAGGAACAACAGCAGGTGGAAACACATCCATTAAGCCACCTTGGTGTTTGTTTTATTTAATGAAAGGCAAATGGGCTTTTATGTGATTATCGCTGTTCATTCTCTTCGTTTTGTTTACCACAGTGCCAGTATACAAATAAAACTGCCATAAGTCGAAGGAAAATAATTTATGTTTATTTCTTTTTTGCAAAAGATAATGTATAATTGTAAATATTGATATCACGGACTTGTCAGGTTACATTTAGGGCTCATCAGATACGGAACGTGTTCTTCCCCACCAAACACTTGCAAAAATTTTCGTTGGCATAACTTATCCAATTTGATGTTCAATTTTCTAGCGATTTTTGTGTAATATTTGAGAAAACATACCAGCTACTATATTGGCCTTATCTGGGAACGCGGCATCGTGTGCGATTGCTTGAATGTGAATTCAATATCCGACATGGGGAGCTCAAGTATGAAAAATATACACGAATTCACGTGCTCAAGGAACTTCTACCTATTACAAGATTTTCAGTCGTTTTGGATTTCGTATTTAGGCGTTACTATAAACAGTATACTC